ACCGTGTCAGTACGGAACAATGGGGTAGTTAAATTTTTTCTGACCTATACTTTTTATGGTTTTATTCAAGGAGTTGTGTAATATTAAACATTTCTGTGAAATCAGAATTTCAAATGAGTTTACCGTTTTCGAGATATTTACAAAAAATATACATTTTTATGACGTCACAAACCTCGCCATGTGACCAACATTCTAAGATTTCTATTGGTTGAAAATTACCCTGTTGTCAAGTTGTCTTGTTAATGATTTCATTCGGTTATGTCAGAAAATACCCGAAGAGGTTATGTACAAATACTGTCACTGTCAGTTGAGTGAAAGATGGTCACCAAATTCATTAAGTACCTATATATATATTCCTTATAGTCCGGTCAAATTAGACCAAAAAATAACAGTGAAGGTACATAAATTTACAACAGGCTGAAAATCAGTAAAATTGTTTAGAATATAATTATAAATAAAATTTTAAAGTTCCCCATCATTCCCCTGTATGGAAAAATTTTTATTCAAGGTCAAAGGTCAAAAAAATTAGTTTTTCGCGATTTTCAGCAAAACGGGAAGTTTTATCACAAAAATATTTCTGACAAAAATTGTAGATCATAAAATTGTCTATAAAAAATATATCGGTACTTTTTTTCCTAAGAGTCACCGTTTCTGAGATATAACGATTCGAAAAGTTGTAAAAGTTGTAATCGTCATAATATACATGAGTACGTCACGTATATACATCTTTAGAGTTTTAATATATGTTAATATATTTTTCTATCGGTCATTTTCACTTACACTTAAAATATAAAATATACCTACATAAGTTATAACTATAAGAATATCAAGTGAAATAAAACCCAGTCCCTTAAGGGACTGGGTATAAATTAATTAATTTATACGCCATCGAGACAACATCTGTGACAGATGATCTGTCATCTGTCAACTTGACATCTGTCACCTGTCATCTGTCACCTGTCATCTGTCACCTGTCATTTGCCACCTTATCGATTTGATTTCGGGGATTTTAATTGGTTAACTTTTTTAAATACACAACAAAAATTAAACGGGCTTCTGGCCGATTAGTTTTCATTCGATGAAGCTCATCTTTTAGTATGTCAAACTTTGGTCTTTTACCCGTCGATTCGCGTGTATTTCGTTCGGCCAATTTCGAAAATTTCTCTCGCCCGAAAAAAATAAAAAAAAATCGAAAAGTTTCCGGCGGATCCGGCCCGTTTGCAATATTTATTTTTTCCGTTGTCTGCTAGTCTGTATATCCTTTTTTTTTCTAAGCGCCGTAGCTCGGAGGCCGTTGAAGGCGGACACTCGAAATTTGCATCCTTTTTTCTGCCCACGAGACCTATCCGCGAAACAAATTTTTCCGGTGTTGAAAAGGCCCAAGTCCACTTTTTTTCGATTTTTCCGTCAAATTTGGCACGTTCCGTTGTCTTCGCTTAACTTTCGAATGAGCGGAGATTTTTCGGCCAAACTCGAGGAAAAGGTGCTTCGGGACAAGTAGTTATCACCAACGTCATTCGATTTCTTCTTTCTATATACGGAGCTCCTAAAAAAACTACCTGCTTTGATAAGTATCGATATGCATGTTTCGTTAAAAATACTAAAATAAAAAACAAGTTCAATTAGCTTGTCTTCCTCCAACCTCAGTTGCTGCTCATCAAAATATTTTTCGGGTATATTACCAAGTTCAAGTGTGGCTTGGTTATCAGCTAGACCCTACAGACTGGGGTTGGAAGTTGGTCAACAACCCATTAGAACCAGTTCAAACTTTACTCCCACCTGCGCCGGAAAAAATGCTGAACACAATTTTTTGCAACTGCAAAAAGGGATGCAGTGCTAAATGTGGTTGCAAAAAAGTCGGACTGTTTTATTCTCTGGTATGTACGAATTGTCAAGGCCGGTCGTGCTCTAATGTTGAATCACCAACAGTGGAGGATTCATTTAATTCCAACAAGGTGACATGCGATACATCGCTACTGACGCAATTTACTTGTACCCAGGATGAAGATGAAGAAGAAGAAGAACAAGAACAAGTAGAAGAATAAGAAGAAGAATTTAAATGTTACGAATCAGACTAATTAACTTAGTACTTTTTTTAATTTACATCGCTTTTATCTTTTCCAATCATTGCTAATTTCCGTTATTTTGCAATAGTTTCAAATTAAACAGGATCACAACTGACCCGTGGAATAGGCTACTGGGGAAACCACGTTAAAAAACGCGCTAAGTACACTACCTAATAGGTGGCGTGGAAACGTGTGCATATTATGACGATTATAACTTTTATAACTTTTCGAATCGTTATATCTCAGAAACGGTGGCTCGTAGAAAAAAAAGTATTGATACATTTTTTATAGATAATTTTATGATCTACAATATTTGTCTGGGGTATTTTATGATCAAATTTACCGTTTTGCCGAAAATCGCGAAAAATCATTTTTTTGACCTTTGACCTTGAATAAAAATTTTTCCATACAGGGGAATTATGGGGAACTTTAAAATTTTATTTATAATTATATTCTGAACAATTTTACTGATTTTCAGCTTGTTGTAAATTTATGTACCTTCGAATGTCTAGATTGACCGGACTATTATTACGAGGTATCATATTACTGTTTGATATTTTTGAGTCCAAGATATATCTAAAAGAATATAAAGAACTAGGCATTATACTAATGAAATGCATTTACGACAAAATATGATTATAATTATAGGTATTTACCTACTTTATTTGTTTAAAAGCTCCAATGTTCAATGTAACCAACCATTCCACAAGATTCCTCTGCTTTGGAGTCCGTTATTAATAAATCACTTATCTAATATCAATTACAAATAACATAACAATAACATTGATTTTCAATAATCTAAATTAAAAAAGAAACGTCAAAAAATCAATTCTTCTTCTTCTTCTCAACTAAAATTTTAGATCAAGTAGTTTTAAAACTAAAATATTATAACGTGGCGCCATCTATCGTAAGAATCTTAAACTAAACACCATAGAAAAAGCTGGCAACGTTGTCAATAGCCTAGTGACGTAATTAGGAGACTTTTTTTTGTAAATATCTCGAAAACGGTAAACTTAATTAAAATTCCGATTTCACAAAGATGTTTAAAATTACAAAACGCCTTGAATAAAACCATAAAAAGTATAGGTCACAAAAAATTTAACTACCCCATTACAATATTTACATAAAGTTCGTTTTTGGGTGTACAAAACAAAAAATCCATTTTTACACAATTCATGTGATTGCTGTTTTTTCACGAATATAAATTGTGACAATAATAATTTTGGCATACCGAGTTTTTTAAATTTAATTTACATTATTATACAGGGCCTGCATATTGAGACATGTGATCTTATTCAAGGGGTAAAGTAAATTTTTTTTATTAAAGTAGAAAAAAAAACAATATTGTGATTATAAATTAAAATAAATTTGGTATTGCAATAACAATTTTGTTTGCCCTTTATTATAAAAAAATTATCATCCTCTTGCCCGTTCAATTATCATTTACATATGTCTTTATAAAATTATCAATTTTACCCATTTTTGGGTGCAACCGTTCTGGCAAACCAGCTATGAAATGACATAAAATTAAAATCCTTGTGGGGGCCTAGCCTATAATTGCCCCAAAACATTAAAAAACTTATTTCCATTGTATTATCTGCAAGACGAAAAACGTGACGCGATGCTTAAAAATTATGTCTCGGCATGTTTTCAGATCACGGCTTCAATAACAGCTAAATGTATAGTTTTTGAAAAATTTTATTTAATGAATAAATTTTATTTAAAAAAAACTCAAAAATTTTTTTTTTAATTTATAGAATTCTTTTTTATTTAAATTTTTTTAAGTATACTTTTTCTATTATTTAAAACATCAATATTTGAAAAAATAATTTATAACAAAATAGAAAATTAAATATATGTATATGTTAAATAATAAGAATGGCTGTATAAAAAATTTTAATGACGTGATTTCGTAAAACGGTAAGTCAAGGACATGTTTTTTAACCTATATTTTAAAATCTGTTAAATTTTTTCATGGGAGGTAAATCGTGTTGAACTGTATAAGAACCTTATTTAAAAAAAATATTCTTTCGCATTTTTTTAATAAATAATAATAATAATAAATAAAAATAATAATTTTTATTTTCAATATAAAAACTTAAAAAATATGTGAAATCAGGGGGCCCAGTAAAGATTTTCGCGGGGGGGGGGGGCAATATCTGCCTGCTGTTATGTTAAGTATTGATTTTTATTTTTTAAATATTAACAAGAAAATACTTACGAAAATCTTCTAATGCTTTTTTACTAATTTTTGTCATAAAACGTGCAAAAGCATCCCTAGTTTCCGCAAATAATTGATTGTTTCCCTAATTAATTTAAAAAAGTTTAAATACTTAGTACCTACTTATCACCAAAAACTTTGTATTTTTGATCCATTTTTATCTAATTTCACTACTTCACTAGCCGTAAATAATAATAAGACTAAGGAGCCAAATAGATACTACTTAATAGTAAATTAAATTAAATCTTAAATATCGGAAAACGTCTAGAATCTAGACTCAAGAAATACATGGTGCCGCAACGTCCTATTGTATATATTCTATCATGGTGCCGCTACGTTGTATAGTTTACTTACGTAGTTAGCGCCCTCTGTAGATTATATGGTTCAACTAAAATTGTACTTTTCTATATATATAGTCCAAGTGGCACCATCTGGAAATTTTGTAGGGATAATACTATGACACATCAGAGTTTATATATGAAATAAAACGTTCTGGCACCTTGAAATGGTGCCACAACGATTATATAGGTGCCACTTGGCCCATATATATCCGAATTTGGTGCCTTAACGCCTGTTTGTATATATATATATATATATATATATATATATATATATTCGGCTATTTCCGTTGTGTTATCGGTTAATTAAAAAAAAAATATTTCAAACGCTAATCAAAAACGTAAAAGCATTAAAAGTAATTAAAATTAATTGAGTATGTATTAAACAGTGTAAAAAAAGTACAAAATCCTAAGAATAATAAAAATATTTATATATAACCCAGTGTCGTAAAAAACAATTCTAAACACAGTACTTTTGACAAAACAATACATAAAAGTATGACCTATTCTAGTAAAAAAATATACTCTAAAAACCCATAGTGCCCAAAAATATGTAGGGTTGGTCAAAATAAATAACAGGCTGCTTATTAAAAAAACGGGGATGTTTTCAAGGTCATTGAGATGAGCTCTTCTGTATCTTTCAACTGTTTCGTCTTCTTTCAAGCTGAATGAGCCATATTTTGAATCCTCTTCATTGAAAACAGCCTAAAATTAAAAACAAACATAAATGCAATGTATCTTATCTTCCGTAGTGTTTTTAAAAGCAAAAAAACGGAAACTTCATTAGACTGGGGGTGCTTTTGGAGGTACACACTGAAATTTTTATTGAAATCGCACTGAAATTAACCAAGTTGCAGACATTTAAGTATTTAGCCCTTTCGTGCTAAGGCTGTTACTTCAACTTTTTGGTTCTGATTTTAATAAAATTTAGTGGTTATATATTACTTAAAATATGCTCTTTAAAATGACGTTTTTTACATTTTTATTGCAATAATTTTAAATCAAGTTGTACTTACCTTAAAATATATTCTCGCCAAGCCCACCATGCCACACATCAACAGCAACTTTAAACATAGTAAAGCCGAATAAAAAACATATAATTCCAGTAAATAGGAGTCCAGGTTGAGTCGCCCAAAATTTACCAGCGTCATGTTAATTAATTGCAGTTGAATTTCTTCAGTTTATAGCGACAAATTGAATAAAAGTGACAAAATTAATAAAAGTTAAAAACACTTTTGTATAAGTTAATATAGGTATAAACACACCGTATGCTATAAAATTAATGATAATGAGCGATTTATAATTTATTAATTAAGCAGTGAAGTAAACAATGTTTAATATAAGTGTTTAAATATGTTAATTTTTGATGACATTGTTTCAATGAGTAATACGCGATGTGAATGCAATATATTTTATAAAATAAATGTAATTCTATACCTACTCACTGATAACTGGTATTAATTAAATAATATTTGACCTTCATGAATAGACTAGATAATATTTTAGTTAGCAAGTTTCAATATTAAAACAAATTTACTTTATTATAAATTTACATGTTTACATTATGAAATCGGTTAATTTAAAAACTACCTATAGATTTCGAACACTAATAACTAATTTCCTAATTTTTGGAGACCCAGCAAATTAGTTATTACTAATGTGTCATAGGTTAATTAAAAAAATATATATTTTAAACACTAATAACTTATTAGTGTTTAAAATATATATTTTTTTAATTAACCTATGACACACCGAATATTTACAAATATAATGGCGACAAGTTCGGTTTTGGGTTTCGTGTCGTCGGTAGCTCTATGAAAGAGTATATGAAAAATAAGTGACTTCTCGACAGTGTTGCCAGATCTCCTGTTTTAACAGGAGATCTCCTGTTTTCACTCTCGAACTCCTGTTCTACTGTTTTCACTATGAGATCTACTGTTTTTAACCTCAGTGTCTATTTTTCTGCTTTTCTACGAACATACCTTGTGGTTTGGCTAATATTTCAAATTTCAGCGTCGACGGTCCGTATGAACGGTGAATAGCATTGATTTAAATTTGCGCGGTTTTTCGTTCGTTTTGGTTCGGTTCGTTCGACTTCCTTTGAATTACGATCCCTAACCGTTCTTTACGCGTGCGCAGTTTGCGTAGTATTTATCAAAGAACACCAAAGAAGCAAAAGTTCCTGGTTAAAAGTTGGCAACACAATAATCGCCCGAAAGTCTGAGATGCGCTTGAACAGGTCAAATGGCTACCAACTTACACAACATAATGTTACGTACGAGTTTCATGTCTATTATGTTTTAGATAAAAATGCATAGATGGCGCTGATTATTTTTTCTTTCTTTCTTTAGGCGGGAATTTTAAATTTTAAATGTAATGTTTTTGATGTTATACCTACATCTTATGTGATATTTAAAATTTAATTTGTTTGTTATACAGACTGTATAGAATCAAGTAAGTAAGGCTGGAGACAAGGATGACAAATTATATTCTGATCAGAGGAAAAGAAACAGACTTTAATTGGGCGTGGTTTAAACCAAGCCATTCGTAATTACGAACCATAGTTGCCAGGTTGTTTTAAATCAGAAGAGTACGATTATAATTATTTAATAAATAGTTCAATTTTATTTGTTTGAAACTTTGAAAATAACAAAAAAATTAATATTATTTCAAAAATAATTTGATTTAGTTAATTTTCTTACTTTTAATATTAAAAAATAAGAAAAACAACCCTTTTAGGAAAAAATAATAGCATATGGCAACAGCGCGGCATGCCGCGGATTGTAGCTACACTGGGTAAAGGCCTATTTTGAAACATATTTTGAAATAAAGTTTGTATTTGGCGATACGATCTACCAGTGTGATGCCATACCATAATTTGGTATTTTTCCTCACGAGTAAAAACCATTTTATTTGAGAAAATACTTAAATTCTTACAAAGACGTACGCAAAGTCTCAGTGCATTTCTTAAACTGACGCACAGACAGTGTTGCCAGTAGTAGAAAAATTAAAGTACTGAAATGGCAATAAAAACTTATTGAATTTGAAAGATAACGTACTGACTTTGAGAAATAAATATTAAACTTATATGAACGTAATTTTATTTTGTAATTTATCAATAAACACATGCACATAAATAAACTATAAACATCAAAAGAACAAAATAGATAATTATTATTATACCTATACAAAAAAACAATATTGTTGGTAAAATTAAAAAATAGTCTACCTATCGATAATTAATTTTCTTTTTTAACAAAGATTGAGGTATTTGGCTTCAATAATTCCTATTATTCCTATGAGCGGTTCTTGGCGAACTTGGAACAAACCTTATGTCAACACTAAGTAGACAACGCGCGCTACCAACAGTTTAAAACTTAAAATACCAGGATACTAAAATAACTCAGTATCACCAACCTAAACTTTTAATTTTTTCTTTAATTTTTATTTAAATAAAGGGGAAAAAATCTAAAACTGGAAAACGTACCGAAAACCATCAACGAGGTACTTGCTTACTTTTTTTAAGTACTGAATTCGGTACAAACGTACTGACGCTGGCAACACTGCGCACAGATCATACGACAATGATACAAATTCAATCCCTACCACAGTGGGCGTGGTTTGGCACTTGTTTTATTTAAGTGTATCTATTCGTTTTAATACACACTGTATATTCTGTTACTCAGTTTATGTACACAATCAACGATTCGCGTTTATATGTTATTATTTATGTTATTATATTTTTTTATATTTCTCAGCACACAAAATGTCCAGCGGACGTCCCATGGACGTCATGCGAACATTGGACCTTCAGAGGACATCCATTGGACGTCCCCGGGATATTTGTGTTATATGGGTTTGTGCGTGTACTTGTGTTCCTCTATAAAAAAATATATTTTTTTTAAATCTCCTGTTGAAAAAAGTGATCTCCTGTTTTTTTGGCTACTTTCCTACTGTTGACAAGAATTTCCATCTGGCAACACTGCTTCTCGACCAGGAGAGGCAAAATCGGACTCCCAGTGTAAAAACAAACTGGTAGTAATCAAGAATTTGTAAAAATATATGGAAATAACTAAGAGATGGATCCGATGATTGAAGGTTAAAGACAATTGGAAAATTCTGTGTACCTAGTGAAGCAAAAGATGACGTGGTTCTATAAAAATTGATAAATAACTAAGAATATATAAATGATGCAAGGGATGAGTTAATCTCAGATTCTTTTAAATAAGACCCTTGATCATAATAAAGAAAATTTTAATAATATAATGTGCTGGCCAAATAGCTTTTAAATTAAGCTAAAGGTCATTCCTCTGAACACAGAATTGTGTTCAGAATTAAGAACTAACTATTATATACTAATATACGCGCGACCTAAGGAAATATAGGATGTATATTCTAGGGTGTTTCAACAAAATTAAAAATTATTTTTTTTTCCAATGGTGTTGAAAAATTAATAGTACATTAAAAAACAAAAATGTTGGCGCCTATTTGAGCCCTTAATATTAATATTAAGGTTTGCCTCAATTCATTTTTTGTTTTTCCATTTCAATAATACGGGAATTTTTATTTTTTTAATTTTGAATTCTTATAACTTTGGAACGGTTTGTTTTCGCAACACCCAAGCGAAATGAGTTATAGACAAATTCACGCTCTACAAAAAACATCTGAAGGTCAAAGTTCTTCAGATCAACCGTTTCAAAGATATCAGCGATCAAAAATAACACTAATAAAAAATTTCAAATATTTTTAATATTTGTGGGTTGCATTTTAAGTTTTACACTATGCAGAACTTTTTATAAAGAATAACTTTTTTTCCTAAAATTAATAATAAAAAAGTTTTCCATATGATTCCAAGATACTGAGACATACTGTATTATGTATATATATATATATGTATATATATAAAAAAAAGTTTACAGTCTCAGGTTAACAGAATTAAAGTGATTTTACATAAAAAATATTATAAATATGGCATATAATACTATTTTTGTATTTTATTTGAAAATATTTGAAATTTTTCATTAGTGTTATTTTTGATCGCTGATATATTTGAAACGGTTGATCTGAAGAACTTTGACCTTCAGATGTTTTTTGTAGAGCGTGAAATTGCCTATAAAACCTCTCGCTTGGGTGTTGCGAAAACAAACCATTCCAAAGTTATAAGAATTCAAAATTAAAAAAATAAAAATTCCCGTGTTATTGAAATGGAAAAACAAAAAATGAATTGAGGCAAACCTTAATATTAATATTAAGGGCTCAAATAGGCGCCAACACCATTAGAAAAAAAAATAATTTTAATTTTTTTTGACACCCTAGTATATACTCCATGTACAAAAACGTGTCGTATAGACTCCGACTCGATTTTTGACTGAACAATCACAATTTAATTTGACCTTTTTGGTAAGGGGAACACAGCTATTGGGAGAAAATATTACGTCACGAGAAAGCACCGTCCAGAACCGGGAATCTATAAAGCCTGTCAAATGTATCCTTGTCGTGAAGTCACACTTTTGTAAACAAAAATTTATTCCAATAAAACGGTTTCGGTAGCACACCTTACCCACTGAGCAAAAAAACGTAAAATATATGTAAAATTTACGTCAAAGGTTGTAGTGTGACGTATAAGAATCTTGTTAAATAAACGTCACATAAACGTCGCTGTGATGTGCCTATGTCCGGATCCTGCGCCGTGAATTAGCCCTAACCGTTACGTGGATAAGGAGACGTAAAAATTACGTTTTTAAAAGGACGTAAAAATGCCATTTTATTATGGACGTATAGGTTTTGTTTCCACTTGTACTTATTAGTTACGTTTTTTTAAATAAAACTACCACTTTGGAAATATTTTTTTTTATTAAAATAAATTATAAAAATAAAACATAATTAGTCTGATAAAAATAATAAAAATAAAACATACCGCCTAATTAATTTTCGGCCTTATTCTCATGTCCAAATTTGGCCAAAAAACGTTATGAGCGTTGCTTGGCGGTTTGGAACAACTCCTTGCTCTCTTTATCGAAATCACTTTCAGTCAGACGAGATAATTTCATACTGGCTTCTAAAACAAACATTAATAACTTAAGTTATCTAAGTAATTAAGTATATAAAACTTATATAACTTGCCTGTCGCTCGGCGCAAAATTTGTCTCCCATGTTCACTGGTGTATTAACTGAAAAATCAAATTGATTAAAAGACTTTTCTTTAAGTCTAACAGCCTTGATTAATATTACTTCTCACTCAACATTTAAATCAACAAAATTCGATAACCACTAATAGCGCCATCATGGCGATATTGGGACAATTAATTAATTATATTATAACTGTATGGTTGCAAACAAATGATAAAGCCAACTTACCTAAA